ATTTAGGATGGAAATGTTAAAGTTAATGCTTTACTTAAACTGATTATGTGTAAAAGGGTTGATTGTTGCCTTTATCAGTCGACCCATTCTATTTATCAGTCGACCCATTCTATTTATCAGTCGATTATCAGTCGACCCATTCTATTTATCAGTCAACCCATTCTATTTATCAGTCGACCCATTCTATTTATCAGTCGACCCAATTACTTCAGTCGGCTTATGTATTGAACTAATTCTGTGTAAAAGGGCTGACTGTTGCCTTTATCAGTCGACCCATTCTATTTATCAGTCGACCCATTCTATTTATCGACCCATTCTATTTATCAGTCGACCCATTTTATTTATCAGTCGACCTAGAGTAAATTCAATCGATCTAAAGTAACTCCTAAATACATGCAGAATCATTTTGTTACTCAATGCATAATCAGTTTGTTACTTCATGCAGAATCAGTTTGTTACTCAATGCAGAATCAATTTGTTACTTCATGCAGAATCAGTTTGTTACTCAATGCAAAATCAGTTTGTTACTATTATATACTATATCAAATTTTATTAAAAAAAAGTATATAAAATATTTGATTTGGGACAAGGGCATTTTAGTAATCATACTGGTTTATATTCCGATTCTGCTGAATTAGTAAACAGCTTTATGAAATTGTATTCCGATTCCAGACAGTTTTAGTAAACAATTTCAACAAGAATCTGATTCTGATTCCACCTCATTTCAATTCCTCCTCAATCAAATTCCTCCTCAATCCGATTCCTCTCAATTTGATTACGGATTAGTAAACGCGCTATAATAGTGGCCAATACATGCAACTTCAACAAATACAAGTACATAAGATCTCCATAATTTAGAAAATCCTAGTTAACATTAGTTAACATTAGCCAAAATAGATCTCTATAATTTACAAAATGGCTAGTTAACATAAGCCAAAATACTAGTGCAAAGCTAAGTTATAAGTCATAACATAAGATTGTATGATTAATAAAATACATCCATGTTAACGTTAATAAAATACATCCATGTTAACATTAGCCAAAATCCTCATCCGCTTGCGTTGTCGCTTAAAAGCCTTTGGACGAACACTTTCTTGAGTTCCGGTTTGATTGCCCTGAACACTCCCACATTTTTTGGTTTATCCAAAATAAGAGACAATGCATCAATTTGATCCATAGGAGAGAGACCCATTTCTTCAAGTTCATTAGCTATGTCAGTATGATCTGCAGTACCTTGAACTAAAGCTTCAGTTACCATTTGCATCCTCTTCCCACTTTCAACATAAAAATCTTTCAGTCCACTGATAATTGCCTCGGTTCCATCACTTGAACTTCCCACAGCTCTTTTCCTCTTTCTTTGGCTATTTTCAGATGGGGTGCTTTGTTGGCTTTGTTGGTTCATTGAAGAAACAAAATTTTCACCTCCAATATCACTTTCACCAACATGATCATGACTTTGTTCCTCCACCATTTGAGCAGGGGTTTCGGCTACATTACCCGTAGCCCGATCTTTTCCAAATATATATGCAAATCTATCAAACAGTGGAAAAGGTTTGCTTCTCCATCCATCGGCTTCTTTATTTCTCTAAGATTATATCAACATAGCAAAACTAAAATTTAGCATGCGTAACAAATATAGGAGCAAGAATATACACTGCACACACACACTGCATACACACACACACTGCACACACACACACACTGCATACACACTGCACACACACTCACACTCACTGCACACACACACACACTGCATACACACACTCACTGCACACACACACACACACTGCACACACACACTCACTGCACACACACACACACACTGCACACACACACTGCACACACTCACACTCACTGCACACACACACACACTGCATACACACACACACTGCACACACACACACACTGCACACATACTGCATACACACACACTGAATGTACGACATTCAAGATTCCCCAAGTTTAACACAACAACAACTCCCGTCTCACAAAATTCAGGAATGCTAATGAGTCTTATTTCCATGTATACCAACAAAAGTCCCTGTTACATACATAGAAGGTGAAAGCACATGCCCAGAAAACTTAACACTTCCACTGGACATCATAATTAAGCTTTAGACAAAAGAAGTAAGCATGAAACAAGGCAACTATATCAAAAGAAGTAAACTCCATCAATATGTTGTCCTAGTCTTAAGTATATTGCTTTATGTGAAAATATGTAACCGAAACTCCATCAATAGAATCAGCAGGGGTCTCAACAATAGCACAATATTTTTAGAGCAAAGGCTTTGGATTCATTTAGTTGTAAACTTATTCAATAGAATCTATTCCTTTTTAATTTGCATATTTATAATTCCTTTCTATTTCCTAACAAGATCAAAAGGCACAAACAAAAGCTTACCCTATGCGAACACAAGAGTACCGATCATTAGCTTGTTCTAGGTCACTTCACAACAAGTCAACACTGAGATTGTCCAATATAGGGAAAGTTTCTAAATAGTTGTTAACCTTTATTGTATTTATCTTTTATATGTCGACCTTTCTAGTATGTCTGATAACAAGAAACAATTAACCTTAGGAAGTCAAGAGACGAAATGCTCAAAAGCGCTGTTTCCTCTTTAAATCAAATTCGAATCAAACTGTTTAAAAGAAAATGAGATCAACCGTTAACATTGAATCATTCTCACTAAGTTGGTTTTAAGTAAGCATCTGAAGAATGCATATACTTAAAGACAGAAATCTGAGTTCAAATGCCTAGAGGTGTTGAAAACCAAGATCAGACATGAATGGCCAACCATTTCACACCCACTCACTCATCTCACACTCACTCACGAATTTTAGACACATAACGAAACAAGACAAGAGCTCCAACCTCAACATAGCATACCAATTCCTACTTACAGTACCAATAAGGAAGCCTCTACATGCATGGTACCAGTAAAAAATGGACCGCCAATCCAACACAATAAAATAACAAAATGAGGTGTGAACGAACAAGTAAAAGCCACAAGTGTTAGATACAATACATAGTCACAATCACAACTAGACTATTTCTAACAAGTTACAAAGGAAAATTTCCTCTTTCACAATCAAAGCTCAAAAAGGCGCTACACCTAGAAATGATGATTCTACTTAATAGAAAACTATAATCATGTTGTAACTAATGGCTGCATCCCTGAGGATCTGGCAAACCTAGTAACACCACCACTTTGAAGAAATTAGATAACGAAATACCTCATAGAAGTAAATCCTCACCACCAAATATATATATATATATATATATAGTTGTGTTCGTTGAGAGAACAAGCATCGGTAAGGACCTACACGATACTTGGTACTTCTCTTGTGCCACAAGTACATACTATATGGTGAAAGGAAGGGATGCTGATACTGTGCTCAAAACCATAAAATTGAAGAAAAAAAACTAAAATTATCCACAAAAATTGACAATCTTTCTAATCAAAATTCAAAATTATTTCTGAACAACAAGGATAACACCATTTTCTCGCAAACATCAACCGAACAACTAAGTTAACCCTGTGACCCTATGGGACCAGATGAAACTAATGCAATGGCAATGGTAAAAGCATCATATTGTATCACGATTATACAAAGCTACAACAAAACTGCAATCCCAGTGGACATTAAAAATGACTGATGCACTCACAGCTATCAACTACTATATCATCTCAAACTAGACTGTCCAAATAGGCAAGGGGGCTAGAGAATTCACTTAATATATGGAAAATAATGGTAGATCAAAAGATCGAACATTGAAATCATAACTGATTTTGATTTCTTCAAATTATAAGAAGGTATATATCATAAATAAAAGGATTATACGAGGAATCAATCAGAACCCATTAATAATGTCATAGATTTTGAACCCAAAACAACAAAATCGATCAGAACCCAATAATAATTTCACAATCTACAAAACAAAATCATAGAAATAGGTCGTCGGATTTGGAATTTACCAGATGAGGACGAGCAGGACGAGGGAGTAGGACGAGCGAGGAGGATCAGCGAGGAGGAGGACCAACGAGAAAGACGACCAAGAATGAGGAACGAGCAACGCTCTCAAAGAAGGGCTTAGCAATCCCGTGAGAATTGGGGTTCTCGCTAAGAACTTTTAGCGAAGGGGTTAGTCGGAGCGAGTACCGGCTAATCCCATTAAACTTAATTCCCGTGCGAAACAAACACTGGACTATAGTCCAGTCCAGTCCAGTGAAACTTAGTGAGCCCAAACAAACACACCCTAAAGGTCTTACGAGTTAAAATTGACCAGTTGTGGAACGGTACAAACTAAACGCAAAACTGTTAGTCTTATTCAAATTTTTTATACTCCATTTGTAGATCTCTTAATAAATATCGGATCTGCATGTGTTGATGAGTCACATATCTATAGTATAAAAAAATTTGGTAAGTGCAGTATTGCTCAACTAAACATAACAAAATGGACACTGCTCGGCCTTTTTCCGTTAGTATAAAAAATTTGGTAAGTGTAACATTGCTCAACTAAACATAACAAAAATGGATACTGCTCGGCTTTTTCCATTTTTAATATAAGAAGTCGTTCCTCCTTAAGAGTTTTAAATGCCTAAATGGACGATGTTCTTTAGGAATTGTTGGTTTGAGAGTGATTTTTTACTCTCTTATTTTTGCATATTGAACTTCCCTTTTCCTTTCGTTCTTGGATTGGATGTAACATTAAACTTGAAAATATAATTAAGCAGAAGAGGTTAGAAGAACAAAAGGAAGTACGAAAATTAATTACCAAAAGGAAGTAACAAAATTGTTTTTTTTAAGAGTAATAAGAACCTAAATCTAAAGGACCTTTATAACAAGTGGATATATTAACTCTGTAAAAAATAAACAAAAGATACATTATTGCACTTTATTTTTTGTAAGAGTAAACTATTAGATACATTGTGACACGCCCCGACCCTGATATTCCCCGAATACCAGGACCGACACGTGCTGGCCGACACCCGGGGATGACGAAAGCCATTAATTGATACAAAAGCTAAGAATAAGAAATAAATAAGGGTTAGAAATTTGAAATACAAGGAATTAATAATTTAGGAACGTGCTCAGAGCATACAACTAAACCTAATCACTAAAAAGAATTAAGATAAAATTTAATGAATAGAGGAGTGGGTCCTACATCGAGAGGATCCGAAAATGCTGCTGCGAAAGTGCCTTGACGCCGGGATTAGGTGCCTTGATTCTAAGTCCTGAATGGGAGCGCAAAACAAAGGTGAGTGAACCAAGTTTATATATATAATAATAATAAAACAGTTATCAACATACTAACCCTCAAAGTTTATATAATGAAAACTACTAGCATAATAAGTGATGGATTTAAATCAAAATCCTAGCATGCCAAAATATCTCAAAAGCCATATCGCGGAAACTCATCGCGGAAATCAAAATAGTAAACGCATCATAAATCGTTTCGTAAGCGTGGTGTGCTGCTAGTAAGATCACCGAATAAATATAACTCTCCGCCCAATGCCTGCACCTAAGTCTCTGCGCCCGTAGCCAGAGATAACTATCACCCGGCTCAATGCCTCTTCATGTCCCTCAGCCCGTAGCTAGGGATTATTTCTCACGGCCTAAATGCCAACACCAAATCCTCGCCCCAGGCGGCATAGTGTCTACTAGGTACGCACAAATAGTTACGCATCTCATAAATAACCACTTCATAGCATAGGTTACCGATCATCGTCTACACTATAAAGAGGGGTTCAAAAGCATGTTCTAGCATCCTATCGTCATCTATCAGATAGTCTACCAGTTCATGATTTTTATAGAAAATATGATATATATATATATTAAAATCTAGCTCAATATAAGCTAACAATTATTTCCTCACAAAAAACACGAGACGAAAATCAATATATTAAATCAACATGCTTCACATATATCACTTCATAAATTCGTAGGCATGCTAATCATTTATGCAATTAAATTATAAAATCATGTAATTTTTAGAAGGGGTCCACTCACAGTACTTAGTTGCCAAAAGCTGCGCCACTAGCGAAGACGGAAGCGTCACAATATTTGCCCCTAAGCACATTAAAGAGTTCAATAAATAAAACTATATAATAGAAATTGAATTTGAGAAAACGGACATTGGAAACGGATTCAGAACGTTAAATTACCCTAAGAAGGGTCCCGAACGAAAACCCGAAAAGTCAACCCTAAAGTCAACGTTGACCGGGGGTCAACGGTTAAATTAGGTCTAACGGGTTTTAAGCTTGAAATCCGGATTAGGGTTTAGGTTTAAATAAAATAGGGGATTTGGGATTGGATGGGTTTAGGGTTTTAAAGGATTTTAGGAACCTAGGGTTTTGGGTTAAAATGATTTTAGGATGAAAAGGGGTGGTTTGGGCTTAAGCCCAAACTCACACACAACACACACACACACACTCACACACTACACAAAATCACAAAGGCCTTAAGGCCTAAAAAAAAATATAAAGGAAAACAGGGCTTTAAGCCCCTTTTAAAAGCCACCGGCCCAAGGCCCTTTTGGGTTTTAAAAACAATTAACAAAAAAAAGAAAAATCAAATGGGCTGGGGTACTGGGTTAGGACAACACGGGCCTAAGGCCCGAGGGAGAGGGAAATGGGAAAGGCCGGATGGCCTGGTGCCGAGGAAGAAGAAGGCCGGAAATTCGGCCGGAAAACCACCTCACTTTAAACGATCATAACTTTGTCACTACTCAACGAAATCAAGCGAGACAAAAACGAAAGTTGTAGCCCTTGAAGAGACGAAGAGAATGATACCTCACACGGCGTCTAACTCGCCGTGGTTTGGCCGTAAAATGCCTCGAAATCCGTCGGACTCGCCGGAAACTGGGTAAGATTCAAATGAGTATAACTTCTTCAATACTCAACGAAATTGAGTGAAACAAAAAGGAAAGTTGTACTACTCGACGAGACGAAGAGATTGATACCTTACACGCCGGCCAACTCGCCGTGGTTTGGCCGGAAATGGCCTCGAAAGGGGCGGTGCTCGCCGGAGCTTACTCCGTGCCGTCGAACTCGCAGGGCAGGGTCCGGGGTTCGTTGCGAGCCTCTCTTCGATGGTGACTCGGTCCTAGTGAGTCCAGGGGAAGAGAGAGATGCGAGAGGTTGAGGGAGAGAGGTACGGGAGAGCTGAGAGGGAGAGAGCTAAGGGAGAGTTACGGGGGGAGAGACGAAGAAGAAGGAAAAGAGAGATGGGAGGCTGGGGACAGAAATCAGGGGTGGGTCCCCCTTGGCTCACCAATTAAGGCTTTAAAACAATTTTTAATTAACAAATGGGGTTGGGGTGTTTCACATTGTTGATTGTAAAAATCAAACAATAGTTACATAATTAACCGTGTTGTTTTCTCCCTCAAAGAGTTGATCATTTATTTTATTAAGTATCAAATTGAACTGAGTAATTGAAATCACCTATGAAACTCAAATGTCGCACCGTGCAAATCTACTTTCTACAAAATTGGAATTATACTCAATTTTCTTGACAAAAATACTTACGTTAAGTAGAACTTCATTGGTTTTGCAACTCATAAATATATAGTGGGTGTTGACAAAAAATCGTTGCATACAAAATTAAAAAAAAAATTATTAAGAAGGGGAGGGAGGGAAGGGATATAAATCATTACTAAATTTTTGAAAAGGAAAGAGTTTCAAAGACGCATAGATAAAACGCAACACTATAAATCTGCTCTTATTTACTAAGGTACTAGGCTAAACAGGTTTGTTTGATAAGTGTTTTTAAAACAATGAGAGTGTTTAAAAAAAAAAAATTGAAACTAATCTTTAGTAAAAATACAAGTCAACCATGAAAAAGAACTTGAAGTGCTTCCGATAAGAAGCATTGGAGGAATTGCTTCAAATGTTTTTGGAATCCAAAAATATTTTTTTTCTAAAAACACTTGCAATCGTTTTCAAGTACTGACCATCTCCAAAGGAGATGTAAAAAATGCCACATAGACATATAACAGTAACAAATGACGTAACATTTACTTTAACTGAAATGTCAAGGATGACATGGAAAAGAAGACTAAGCTGAGATGGACAAGAAGATGTCAAATTTGAATAAATTTGATTTTTACTATTTCTAAAGGCATTCCATTTGTCTTACCTTAAATCTTAATATATTTAAATATTATTTTATTATTTTTAAACCAATAACAACCTAATTTTAATTATTTTTGTTTAGAAAATTGTCAAACAAACAAATCAGCCTTCAAATTTAAATTTAAAATTTCGAATTTAACATCTTCTTTAAAAATGCTCTTATCAAAGAGCAAAAATAAAACTTCATCCAGAGTATCCAAAGTTTAAAAAAAATGTGTCGGTTACACGTGCGAGCGCAAGTGACGAGCATACGCAAAATCACAGGTGGCCAATGGCCACGAGAGACGGAGAAAGCCACAGTCCGACATCTCGAAATCTAAGAGGTCCTCTTCCTTCTCTCCATCTTCCCTGCAGTCTCTGCAATCCCGGACAAATCACGTTGGACCATTTCTTCTCTGCTATTAATTTTCTAGAGAGAGAAAAAGATATAGAGAGAGAGTGATTTCAAATTTTCTATGCACAAATATCCATGTTCATACGAATGAGTGAATGAGAACTCCGCCTTCACTGCTATCTCTCACCATTGACTCAGCTCTCCTCAACCTCCCCAGCATATCCGATCTCTCTCCTCTCCCTGACCACATCCTCCTCGATCTCTTTCTGGTACTCTCTCTCGTCCTTTATTTCTTCCTTCATCTTTTCAGCTTTACATGACCAATTTGTAATTTGGTGTTCTTGTTCTTGATTTTACCGCGAAAGTAACTTCCTTTGGGGTCTCAAATGGATTGCTTTTTGGTTTTGGGGAAATGGGAAGGCTTGATTTGGTGAGATCCGAATTGGGTTTGTCTTAGTTTTTGAAATTTGATGTTAATCGATGTCGGTTGGATGAATTGCTGATATGCATGAATGATGTTAGGGTTTTCTACGTCTTTTGGAATTCAGGGTTGTTTCGTAATAGCATATGTATGTTGTCATCCTGCAAACATTTCCTGAATTATTCCTTTTAAAGATTTCGTTCTCGCAATTTATCTGTCTAACCTTGGTAATGTTGAAGATGACTAGCTTCCTGAATCTTGGAGTGCTACCTGTATGTCATTTAAATGTGATGACTTTGCCAATGTTTATATTCGATCTGTTCATCGTGTGGCTTTGTTGTTGTTGTTGTTGTTGTTCATCGTGTGGCTTCACATGTTCAATCATGGGACTAATGTGGACTGACTATGATCAAGATTTTTGTGTTTCCATCAATATTTTGTAAAAGATTGCTCTCATTGATCACTTGGACATTGTCCATTTAGCAGAGTGAAAATAACAACATCCCCGCCCTCGGACCCCAAAACGATCCCTCTCCCCGTTGTGAAAGATCAGCAAGTTTTTTCTGTATTTGTTTCATTGTGAAACGTTGTGCATGATGAGAATTATGGATTGGAATTTCAAATTTAGCGGAGCTTGACAAATAGCGTTCGATTCTAATAAGTGAAAACTAGAACAGCATTTTTTTATTGTCTGATGATGTAGTCGTTTTTTCCTTCTTGCTTTCTATGCTGCTGTATGGGTTTGAGACATTTGTTGACTTTGTAAGCACACCTTTTTCATTTTGCATTTCTAAGGTCTCTATATGCTCCTTATGCTTTCGTTTTCATGTATGATTATGCTTTTGGTACATGGAATTAGTAACATTCAGTTTAATGGCAGAAAACTTTGAGAGCTGGAAAGCTAAATGAGAAAGTGTTGAATCTGTTTGTAGCCACTGGCAAGGATGAAGTCCTTTCATTAATCCAATCACTTAATATTCGGCAGACCCTCACCCCTGTGCTTCCTACCAGTAAGTTTTGTTTGAAAATTTCCGGTGTCCTTCCTTTCCTGTAACCTTTGAACCATTTTTGCAGGCTTCCCTTCTGACCTTCAATAATATCTCTTGCAGGGTGCTCTGAAAAGTTTTGAGATTGGGCGTTATTGTGTGAGCACAGTATATAACATTTTGAAGACAGAGATCAACTAATTAAAGAAAGCACGTGCAAGTTTCCTGGTTTGTTCTCACAACTCCTGTTTGAAGATGTCTGATTCAAGCATCAACCCTAGTGAGGTTGACATCGTGATTGCCGCAATCAACTCCGACCTGACACCATTCTTGAATGAATGGAGACCAATATTCTCCCCGTTCCATCTGATTATTGTCAAAGACCCTGATATGGATGGGGAGCTCCATGTTCCAGAAGGATTTAACGTGGATGTCTTTACCAAGTCTGACATAAACCAGATGGTGGGCTCTTCCCATTCCATTCTCTTCTCTGGTTACTCCTGCAGATATTTTGGGTATCTAGTCTCAAGGAAAAAATATATTATCTCAATTGATGATGACTGCGTCCCGGCTAAGAACAACAATGGTCATATAGTAGATGTAGTGGCACAGCATATTGCCAATCTCAAAGCTCCAGCTACCCCGTTCTTTTTTAACACACTCTATGATCCATACCAGAAGGGAGCAGATTTTGTTCGTGGTTACCCATTTAGCCTGAGGAGTGGGGTTACATGTGCACTATCATGTGGACTGTGGCTCAATTTGGCAGACTATGATGCACCAACACAGGCCCTCAAGCCAGAGCAGAGGAATTCTCGATATGTGGATGCTGTAATGACTGTTCCGGTGAGATCCTTAATGCCTGTAAGTGGAATCAACATTGCGTTTGACCGTGAGGTGGTGGGACCAGCCTTGTTTCCAGCTTTGAGGTTGTCGGCAGAAGGAAAGATCAGGTGGGAGACAGTGGAAGATATATGGTCCGGAATGTGTGTGAAGGTCATATGCGATCACCTGGGAATTGGCGTAAAAACTGGGATACCTTATGTATGGAGAAAGGAAAGAGGCGATGCCATTGAAAGCTTGAAGAAAGAGTGGGAGGGTGTGAAGCTGATGGAGGAAGTGGTTCCTTTCTTTCAGTCAGTGAGGTTACCACGATCAGCCGTGACAGCAGAAGACTGTGTTGTCGACATGGCAAAGGCGGTGAAGGAGCAGTTGGGAAAGGTAGATCCTATGTTTGTTCGTGCAGGTGATGCCATGGCAGATTGGGTGAAGCTCTGGAAGTCGGTGGGATCCAGCACACCGGGAGTTTAATGGCTAAATTTTGATTCAGCCTCTTCTGTTTTTGTTCCTTCTTTTTTCAGTACTGATTTTTCTAAGCTTCTAATGTTGAACTCCCTTGTAACTAACTGATGTTGAAATTATGTGGGTGGAAATAATTGATACCTTGTTTGTTGTCTTCATAAAGACGGTTTATATGATTTGGTCTTTTATGTTTTTCTAATTACTATATTTTTATAGAACCGATTAATCTATACTAAATTAATCTAAGCTACAGGGAATAAGATTCGTACTTAGGTACAAATAGAGAAAACGTTGCTCAAGCTAACTTGACCTTTACAAGAGAAAATGTTGCTCTAGTTAACTTGACTAAGCTCAAGTTGGCGTGATTTTTTAATTACCTAAAGTGATTCTCGCGCATCTTTTACTTCTCTTGCACACTTGTTTATTTTGAATTTTTGGATTGAATAAATCAAAGGAGAATCAAGAGATAAAAATAAACAAGGTGTGCAAAGAGAAGGGCATACGAAAATCATGCGAAAATCATTTCACACGAGAACTGTTCGAAAACATGTACCAGAGTTAAAGGTAATGACCTAAGGGGAGGGGAAACTATTACAATTTAAGGGAGGAAGAGAGTTTCGAACTTGGAACGCATAGGTGGATTATTCATTATTCCTCGTAGCTCTGCTGTGACTGCTGCCTTCATAGTTGGCCTTTCTTCACCTCTCATCCTTGAGCACTTGAGTGCAACGTTAGCAACTTCCATCAGCTGCTTGACATTTCTGTGTTAATGGCGACTTGATCATCGAGAATGTCGAGCAAACGATCCTCATTCATATGAGAAACAAAATACATTGCCAGATTTCTTTCACACTTCGGCCTTGAAAAACAAATGACCTGCTTACCAGTTAGCAGCTCCACCAAAACGAATCCAAAACTATAAACGTCACTCTTTTCTGTTAGATGGCTACTCTGAGAGTATTCCGGATCCAAATATCCAATTGTTCTCTCGTACTAACGTAGTTAACTGACTCTCATCGATGGGAATAAGCCTCAAAGTTCCAAAGTCGGAGATTTTTGCCGTGTAATCCTCATCCAACAATATATTCGAATTTGCAGTCTTCACATCTCTGTGTATGATAGGTATGAAAGTTTCCGAGTGTAAGTACGAAAGAGCTCCTGAAATCTTTATCACAACTTTAAGACGTGTTTACCACGAAAGAACTGAGGAAGAATCTCCTTGCTTCCGATCATGAATGTGGCTGTAAAGAGTCCCGTTCGTGATGGACTCGTAAACAAGTAAGGGCACTTCCGTCTCCAAACAACAGCCTAAAAGCTTAGTGAAAGATGTTCTTATCGAACTAAGCTACAAGCCTTTCTAGCTTAGGGTTTAGGGCAAAATATTATTAGCTATAAGGCATTTGGCCCTGTGTAGTAATAAGTCATGTCTAAGAACAGTGCCTACTATTTTTACTAATTAATTAACAATTTAGCAATGAGAAGAAGCGATTGTCCTCAACTAATTATAGTCCTCAGACTAATTTAGTGACAACACTAATGAATCCCATTTCTTCCTGACTGGGTCGTCCTATTGACCGTTAAAGATCAATTTTCTAGCCAACCATTTGCGGAAAATACTCCTCCATGCATTTGCATGCATGCACATCCACACCATCTCACTTCTCTTGCTTCTTTATATACTCGGCTTCCTGCAGCCTCTTACAAATTCAATACAAGAATTAAGAAGAAAATCAACATTAATTAAGAATCGAAAACAGCTATGGCAAGCTTAACTAGTCTGTTTACCACCCTCTCCAAATCCAGCCATGTCGGAGCAGCAATTGCAAGGAACGCCACTTCAACTCCTAGGATTTTTTTGGCTACAGCCCCTAGACGACGTATTCAAGTGAGTTTGAAATATATCATTAAACATGTTCGATTTTATGGTTGTATTTTTTTGTTTTGTTTACACAAGCGATACTGAAGGAGGGGGAATTGAACTCGGGGCCTCGAATGTTCTTAACCAGAGAGCTACGAGCCTTTTCTATTTTATGGTTGTATTAATTTAGTGGAATTGATAACATTATATGTATTGAAGAACATGTATATTTAATTAATTGGTTCATGATCGCAGGCAAGTTCACAGCAAGATGCACCTGCAGTAGAGAATGAAGCTAGGAATGCTGCTGAAAATGTAAAAAACAAGACTTACTCTACCGCGGAGCATATGAATAACCACAAGTTTCTCGGGTTTTTATAGTAATTGACGATTCTTTGTGTGAATGCAGGTTTCGCAGACAACCAAAGACATGGCCGGCAAGGTGTCTGCAACCGCACAAGATGTGTCTGAGAAAGCAAAGCAGACAGCACAAGATGCTTGGAGCCAAGCCAAGGGCACCGCCCAGAAGGCGACAGACACCGTGATGGGCAAGGCCGAAGAATCCAAGGAGTTCGTCAAAGAAAATGCTGAGCAGGTCAAGAAAAGCATGAATACCAAGAAAGAGACCATATAATGCGTCCCGTCCATGTCCATATTTCATTTAACCCTCCTTTTCAAAATTGTGTTATATAAGTATTTCCCATTTCAAATGTATCCACTATTGGAGAAAAACTTACCTACACTACTGGGATGCACGGTGTTCTAGATCAATAACATGACGGCACATGTTTTAGCCTCGTAATTGATCTGAAACACTGCCACCGTAGCTTCCAGTTTCACTTAAGTCCTCCCATTGTTGAGATATTTGTTCCTTTTTTGTTTTGTTTTTTGTTTTTGTTAAATTGGGGTATTGTTCCTTACACTGCAAGAAAGTGTTTGGTCTTTCTCTCTTGTATCAAATGTAAAGGAAATTCAAGTGTCAATAAATCCTTCCCCATTATCCGTACAAATAGTTCAAAAGCTGTTAATTGTTTTGAGTTTTTTTCACCTCAATTTCTGAATAATTTAGATTCATGAGCGGCCACAGCAGAATATTATAAGAAACCCTTGGCACAAGCTCAAGCTGAGAAGGCATTACAGGTTGCTGTAACCATTCACTAGAACTGAAAGCAATCGAATTTTTGCAAATGCGTGCCTTATAGAAACGATTAAGCACAAGGAGCAAAGGATGTCAAGCCAAAATGCATCAAAGGATGCCGAAGTAAAGTATGATCAATTCCAATTTCTTTGTAAAGTGTGATATTTATCATCAGCCAGTATATCTCATTCTCTCCCACAGAAGGAAACATGTTCTGCAGGAGCAGCAAGTTCAAGCTTCACCTACCTTGACCTTTCTTTGCAGGGAAATTCTAACCAAACACTAAACGGGTTATCTATGAGGTATTGCAGGAAACTAGGAATTCGAAATTCTAATTAACAAACATAAAGGGGAAAGGGAAATCCTAAATCAACAAGGAAGATCAAATGTCACCTGATCCTAGTCTATCTGAAGCTGCTCCATTGTAGTAAATACCAAGTTAAGTTTGAAGGGAGACACAGCAGGAATATGCTTAGCAGCACTCGAATCAACCTGAGGATTTCGAACACAAAAATTATATACCAGAAAGCGATCAGAACTCTGCCAAAAATCAAACCCTAACCTGAAAAACCAAACGCAGAGAGTGCAAGTAGCAGCCAAAGCAACAAAGGGGAAATCCTAACTCAACCAGGAAAATTCAAACCAAAACATAAACGAATTATCTGTTAGTGTGTAAATTGTGATCTGGCAGTTGTATTTCTAGCTCAAATGCTAGGATGATTAACTAAATTGTGTGTATGCTTTCTTATCAAGTCTCATAGGTCTTAAACAAGTGAGTGTACTGTTGGATAGTGGCCATGTTGGATAGTGGCCAAATTAGTGGCCTGGCCAACTTGGCATCGCTATTAAACAAAACAAAAGAATGAAAGACAAAATGATGAGGGAACATTATGATGAGAAGACATCATGATTATGTTTCCTTGTTTTGTGGCTTTTTCAAAGCCATAATTATTGGTTTTTTTTTTTCAAGGCCATAATTATTGGCTTTTTCAAGGCCGAAGAATCCAAGGAGTTCGTCAAAGAAAATGCTGAGCAGGTCAAGAAAAGCATGAATACCAAGAAAGAGACCATATAATGCGTCCTGTCCATGTCCATATTTCATTTAACCCTCCTTTTCAAAATTGTGTTATATATGTATTTCCCATTTCAAATGTATCCACTATTGGAGAAAAACTTACCTACACTACTGGGATGCATAGTGTTCTAGATCAATAACATGACGGCACATGTTTTAGCCTCGTAATTGATCTGGAACACTGCCACCGTAGCTTCCCGTTTCACTTAAGTCCTCCCATTGTTGAGATATTTGTTCCTTTTTTATTTTGTTTTTGTTAAATTGGGGTATTGTTCCTTACACTGCAAGAAAGTGTTCGGTCTTTCTCTCTTGTATCAAATGTAAAGGAAATTCAAGTGTCAATAAATCCTTCCCCATATTATCTGTACAAATAGTTCAAAAGCTGTTAATTGTTTTGAGTTTTTTTCATCTCAATTTCTCAATAATTTAGATTCATGAGCGGCGGCCACAGCAGAATATTATAAGAAACCCTTGGCACAAGCTCAAGCTGAGAAGGCATTAGAGGTTGCTGTAACCATTTACTAGAACTGAAAGCAGTCGAATTTTCGCAAATGCGTGCCTTACAGAAACGAGGAAGCACAAAAGAGCAAAGGATGTCGAGCCAAAATGCATGCCGAAGTAAAGTATGATCCATTCCAATTTCTTTGTAAAGTGCAATATTTATCATCAGCCAGTATATCTCCTTCCCTCCCACAGAAGGAACAATGTTCTGCAGGAGCAGCCAGTTCAAGCTTCACCTACCTTGACCTTTCTTTGCAAGGAAATTCTAACCAAACACTAAACGGGTTATCTATGAAGTATTGCAGGAAACTAGGAATTCGAAATTCTAATTAACAAACATAAAAGGGAAAGGGAAATCCTAAATCAACGAGGAAAATCAAATGTCACCTGATCCTAGTCTATCTGAAGCTGCTCCATTGTAGTAAGTACTAAGTTGAGTTCGAAGGGAGACACCAACAGTTGGAATATGCTTAGCAGCACTCAAATCAACCCGAGGATTTTGGACACAAAAATTATATACCAGAAAGCAATCAGAACTCTGCCAAAGATCAAACCCTAACCTGAAAAACCAAACGCAGAGAGTGCAAGTAGCAGCCAAAGCAACAAAGGGGAAATCCTAACTCAACCAGGAAAATTCGAACCAAAACATAAACGAATTATCTACCCAGAATTAAACAAAACAAGGCATCCTAAATCGTCCAGGAAAATTTTTAAGTAACAAAGAAACATAAAACGAAGGTATATCCTAATTTATCCAGGAAAATCAAACCAAATATATGCTGGAGTTCCGACAACATGAGGAGTCCCAACTACATGAGGATAAATGTGTCGAATAACATTTGATTTGTCTTCAGTTAATCTCAAAACAGAACAAGTACATTGATTTGTTATTACGAACAAGTATTCTATTATTGCAAGTGAAACACTGACATGCTTTTGATGGAGAAGGTGAGAAAAGGGAGGAGATGAGGGATCCTGGGAGTAATATCAGTCGCATTACTTGATTTGCTCTTCTTCTTCCCAACTAATAATGGTGCTTCCAAGACGACTGCGCTTCTGGAAGGCGAGCACCGAGGAGCGTTACTGGTAATGAGCTCAACTTCAACCAGATGCTAACACAGCAAACTCATAACACCGTGGAGCTGAACAAAGGCATTGTCCGAGTCACTTTTTCAAATCCCAGAGGAGATGTCATTGGAATTGAATACAAGGGAATAGACAACTTGCTCGAAATCAAAAACCTCCCAAGCAATAGAGGTTATTGGGATCTTGTATGGAAAAATGGCTTGGACAGACTACAAGGAACAACATTTAAGATTGTTACATTGACGGCAGACCAAATAGAGATTTCTTTTAATAAAACTTATGATGATTCCCTCGGTGATTGGACGCTACCCTTAAATGTTTAGAAAGGAGGCCAGAATTGCACATAGATCAGACAAGACTTGCTTTGAAACTTCGAGAAGAAAAATTTCAATTCATGGCTGTATCAGACGACATACAAAGATTCATGCCAACAGCCGAAGATCGCGACAGAGACCACGTTCAGACCCTTGCCTTTAACTAATCCAAGAAATCCCGAGCTTAATGGAGAGGTGGATGACAAATACCAATACTCCAGCAACGTCAAAGACATTAAGGTTCACGGTTGGATTAGCACTGACGATGCTATAGGGCTTTGGATGATCACACCTAGTACTGAGTTTCGTTCAGCGGGGCCGTTCAAGCAGGAACTTACCTCTCATGTCGGACCAACTACCCTTACTGTGTTTCTTAGTAGTCACTACCTCGGGAAAGATGTTGGATTGACCTTTGCAGAAGGTGAGGCATGGAAGAAGGTTTTCGGGCCCCTTTTTGTGTATCTTAACTCAGATGTTCGAAGCTCGAATGCGTCCTTCTCTCTGTGGGAAAATGCAAAAGAACAGATGTATGAAGAAGTAAAGAGTTGGCTATACAATTTCACTCAGTCTGAAGACTTTCCTAGTTCCGACGGACGTGGCTCAGTTTCTGGTCAATTACTAATACGGGATTCGCACATCAACGAGAGCCTAGTCTCAGCAAGTTATGCTTATGTGGGATTGGCTGCACGCGGATACGCGGGATCATGGCAAACGGAAGAATTGGGGTTACTCGGAAAATTCATTCAAATCTTTGATTTCATGAAGGATTGGGGTTACTCGGAAGAATTGGGCAAAGTTCTTCAATATATTTTGAAGTTTTTTTTAAATATTAGTTCTCTTTAAAAATCAATTTTTTAAAGCGAACTTTAACGAAAAGTCACTGGTACTGTTCACTTTAACGAAAAATCATATTTTTATACTAAAAAGTCAATCTTGGTACTATTCACTTTACCCTTTATTTTGTCCTTATCATTAAAACTCAAAGTTTTCAAGTCTTTTTCATTAGTTTTTCTTTTTTTAAATGATAAAAAATCTCTCAAAATCCCTTCAAATCTTTGATTTCATGAAGGATTGGGGTTACTAGGGAGAATTGGGCAAAGTTCTTCAATTTATTTTGAAGTTTTTTTTTAAATATTATTTCTCTTTAAAAACAATTTTTTAAATGATAAAAAATCTCTCAAAAATCCATTCAAATATTTGATTTCATGAAGGATTGGGGTTACTCGGGAGAATTGGGCAAAGTTCTTCAATTTATTTTGAAGTTTTTTTAAAATATTATTTCTCTTTAAAAAACAATTTTTTTAAATGATAAAATTCTCTCAAAATCCATTCAAATCTTTGATTTCATGAAGGATTGGGGTTACTTAGGAGAATTGGGCAAAGTTCTTCAATTTATTTTGAATTTTTAAAAAATATTATTTCTCTTTAAAAAACAATTTTTTAAATGATAAAAAATCTCTCAAAATCCATTCAAATCTTTGATTTCATGAAGGATTGGGTTACTCGAGAGAATTGGACAAAGTTCTTATTTATTTTGAAGTTTTTTTTTGGGTAAATTACACAGCAGCCCCTCAGGTTTTGAGGTTTATTACAACCTCATACAACAACTTTAAAACATTTCACTTTCATACCTCAAGTACTATTTTATTTCAATATAATACATCCGTTAGATTTTCCATCCATTAATCCGTTAAATGCTGACGTGGCTGCCACATTTGTGCCACGTGGCTACCAAATATCTGCCACGTGGCTACCAAATAATTTTTTAATTTTTTTTAAAAACCTGAATTTTCTCAACCAAAAAAAAAAATTGAAACCCACATCTGCAACCAGCGATCAGAAGGAGGAAAAGAAGGAGAAGAAGAAGGAGGAAAAGAAAAAAAAAATTTGTCCCTCCCCCAGTGACCAGAAGAAGAAGAAGAAGAAGAACCCCCCTCCCGTCCCCCCCCTCGCCAGCGACCCTCCCCCACCCGCGACCCAGCTCCCTTCCTCCCCTCCCGTCTCCCCCACGCCCAGCGACCCTCCCCCACCCCGACCCAGCTCCTTCCCCCCTTCCGTCTCCCCACCGACCAACTCCTTCCTTATTCTTCCTTCTTCTTGTAGATCTGGGTTTCTTTTTTTCCACCCCGACCCAGCTCCTTCCCCCGTCCCACCCAGCTTTCTTCCCCCTCTTCTTCCTTCCCTTCTTCAGATTGGGTTTCTTTCTTTTCTGAACGATCTGCTCCCCTTCCCCCGACCCCCCCGCCCCCCGCGCCCCCGACCCAGCTCCCTTCCTCCCTCTTCTTCTTCTTGTTTCTTGCAGATCTGGGTTTCTTATTTTTTTTTCTTCCTCCGACGACCCTCTCCCGCCCCCCCCCCCCCCCCCGGCGCCCCTCCCCGACCCAGCCCCTTCCTCCCTCTTTCTTCTTCTTGCAGATCTGGGTTTCTATTTTTTTTTTTTTTTATTTTCTTCCTCCGACGAACCCTCTCCTCCTGTCCCCCCCCCCACCCCGATCTCTTCTTCCTCTTCTTCTTCTTGCAGTGGGTTTCTATTTTTTTTTTCTTTTTTTTTCTTTCTTCCTCCCTCCTCTTCTTCTTCTTGCAGATGTGGGTTTCAAATTAGTTTTTTTTTTTTGAGAAAATTCAGGTTTTTTTTTAATTAAAAAATTATTTTTATTTGCCACGTGGCATACATTTGGCAGCCACGTGGCATATATGTGGCAGCCACGTCAGCATTTAACAAATTCATGGATGGAAAATGTAACGGTTGTATGAAATTGAAATAAAATAGTACTTGAGGTATGAAAGTGAAATGTTTTAAAGATGTTGTATAAGATTGCAATAGACCTCAAACATGAGGGGCTAATATGTAATTTACTCTTTTTTTTTAATATTATTTCTCTTTAAAAAATAAATTTTTAAATGATAAAAATCTCTCAAAAATCCATTCAAATCTTTGATTTCATGAAGGATTGGGGTTACTCGGGAGAATTGGGCAAAGTTCTTCAATTTATTTTGAAGTATTTTTTTATATTATTTCTCTTTAAAAAATAATTTTTTAAATGATAAAAAAATCTCTCAACATCCATTCAAATCTTTAATCAAAATCTATAAGAATCCTTGAAAATCCATTTGAAAGGATTCAATCCTTTGAATTCTATGACTTACAAAAGTCTTTTGCAATCCTCATAAATCTAAGTTGTCTACACCCTTAACATGCTTTCCATGGAGAAGGTGAGGCAATGGAGGAGATGGGGGATCCTATCATCGGTCGCACTACTTGGTTTGCTCTTCTTCTTCCCTACTAATAATGGTGCTTCCAAGACTACGACGATTTCTGGAAGGCGAGCACAGAGCAGCGTTATTAGTAATGAGCTCAACTTCAACAAGATGTTAATCCATCAAACCCAGAACACGGTGGAGCTGAACAATGGCATTGTCCGAGTCAAATTTTCAAATCCCGGAGGAGACATCATTGGAATTCAATACAAGGGAATTGACAACGTGCTCGAAACCAAAAACCACCCAAGCAATAGAGGTTACTGGGATCTTGTATGGGAAAATGGCTTGGACAGACTACAAGGAACAACATTTAAGATTGTTACATCGACGGCAGACCAAATAGAGATTTCTTTTAACAAAACTTATGATGTTTCCCTCGGTGATCGTCCCCTACCCTTAAATGTTGACAAAAGGTACATAATGCAGCGTGGTCGCGCTGGGTTCTACGCGTATGCCATATACGAGCGTCTACAAGGGTGGCCGGCATTGCGCATAGATCAAACAAGACTTGCTTTGAAACTTCGACAAGATAAATTTCAGTTCATGGCTGTATCAGACGACAGACAGAGATTCATGCCAACAACCGAAGATCGCAGCGGAGACCACGCTCAGACCCTTGCCTATCGTGAAGCTGTTCTTTTAACTAATCCAAGCAATCCTGAGTTTAAAGAAGAGGTGGATGACAAATACCAATACTCCAGTGACGTCAAAGACATTAAGGTTCATGGTTGGATCAGCACTGACGATGCTATAGGGCTTTGGATGATCACACCAGGTACCGAGTTTCGTTCAGCGGGGCCGTTCAAGCAGGAACTTACCTCTCATGTCGGCCCAACTGCCCTCACTGTGTTTCTTAGTGGTCACTACGTCGGGAAAGATGTTGGGTTGACCTTTGCAGATGGCGAGGCATGGAAGAAGGTTTTTGGGCCCGTCTTTGTGTATCTTAACTCAGACGTTCCAAGCTCCAATGCGGCCTCCTCTCTCTGGGAAAATGCAAAAGAAGAGATGTATGAAGAAGTAAAGAGTTGGCCATACAATTTCACCCAGTCCGAAGACTATCCTAGCTCCGGTGAACGAGGATCAGTTGCTGGTCTGTTACTAATACGGGATTCATACATCAACGAGAGCCTAGTTTCAGCAAGTTATGCTTATGTGGGATTGGCCGCAAGCGGAGACGCGGGATCATGGCAAACGGAATGCAAGGGTTATCAGTTCTGGACTCAAGCTGACAATCAAGGTTATTTCTACATGAAGGATGTTCGACCGGGGAACTATAGCTTGTATGCAACTGTTCCCGGCTTCATTGGGGACTACAAGTACGAGTATGATATTACAATTGAACCAGCAAGTGAAATTAAGTTAACTAATCTTACCTTTGAACCTCCGAGAAATGGTCCAACCTTGTGGGAGATCGGCATCCCGGATCGGTCAGCCGTAGAGTTCAACATACCGGATCCATATCCAAGCCTTGTGAACCGTTTGTTTACCAACAATTCCGCAAACAAGTTTAGGCAATATGGCTTGTGGGAACGATACGAAGATTACTACCCTGACCATGATCTCATCTACACCATCGGTACCAACAATTACAGTGATGATTGGTTTTATGCTCATGTGACAAGGAACATAAATGGTACATATGAGGCAACAACGTGGCAAATTGTATTTCAACTTGAAAACGTTTGGAGCACCGGAAATTATACGCTCCAATTGGCGCTGGCCTCGGCCACCTATGCCGAACTGCAAGTTCGATTCAACAACCAGAACGACACACCTCATTTTTCGACAGGGCTAATAGGGAGGGACAATGCCATAGCAAGGCATGGAATTCATGGTTTGTACTGGCTCTTCAGTGTTGATGTGCCGAGCTATCGACTACAAGAAGGATACAACACCATCTATCTTACACAATCAAGAACCTGGGGACCTTTTGCAGGGCTTATGTACGACTACATCCGACTAGAAGGACCTCCTCCAAAGTGATTGTATTTTATGTATTAAGAGTTTTACCGAGCCCAGTGACGTTTTATGATTCATACTTCGTGTTATATGTATTCTTTCATATTTGTTTCAAATTATGACTTTATAAATACAATGTTTCAATAAGTTCGTAACAAAATTATGATCAGCCAGTACAGTACGGAACATAAGAACCATAATTTTAAGAAACAGGAACGGCGTAAATCGAAAAACAAAACAAAAGCGAAAATACTAGGAAGAACAGAGAACATCTCATTCACCGCCGCTGTCGTCGTCAGGCCCGGCTGCATCTTTGATATCAAGAGTGAAATCATATTCCTGATCGCATCCCAAATATGAATCACACATGAAGTAAAGAATGTAACTCTTCTCTCCGGGTTCGGCGGGAGCAGCAAATTCGAGCTTCACCTTGGCCCTCCTCTGCAGCGAAACTCTCTTGATGGCGAGCAACGAGTTTGTCTTGGTATCCCCCACCACAAGCCACCAGCCCTCTTCTTTGGCCTTGGGATACCTCAGGGCATCCACAGGGCCAACCTCCGTCCTCCCTTCGAGGTCACGTTCAAGAGTGACTAGCAGAGTGATTTCTTCCCCGGCCCTTATGTTGTCCCTATCCAGCACCTCGTATAGCATATCAATGTTGGGAAACCGGTTGCAAAAGCGTGCAATATCCAGCAACTGTGAATCTGACATCTGAAGTAGCTCGCGCCTTTCTTCGTCATCCAACTCAACCAAATCAAACACTGTCTCTATACTTTTTCCAGGATTTTCTTGGCATCTCTTTGCCAACTCCTTTGTGAAGTGAGGAAGCTGTAGAAGCATTGAATCACGATCCCACATACCCTGAGTCACCATCTGGCTGACTTCCATGGCTAAGACGGCAAGGCTTAGCCAGCCATTGCTGGAAATCACATCAACCATTGCCTGAAGCAACCTACTCGCGGAAAGGATCACCTCTCGCTGGTCCAACGCTAGGTTCCCCCAGAGGCTGCCTTGCAAAGTGGGCCTGAAGCAGAGCATTTGCCTTAACATGAGGGTCTGTGCATTTGGGATTATCAAACGAAAACCTCTGGTGGTTAATTAACCTCCGAACCACCTCTTCCTCCCCTGGTCTAATAGGAAGCTGGGAATACTCCGATGCGTGAGTTAGAATTTCAAGAAGACCCTTCATCTTTGTTTTGGAAGTCAAGGAAGAACTGAAACGCTCAATGGTGGTATAACTGATGTAATAATATGAAGCTATCATGCCAAGATTTAAAGGAGAAAGGTCCATGTCATCCTCAATAGCAACACACTTGCTTGCCTCCAAGTCACTCAGTGTATTTTCAACAAGCTCGGAGAGGTGATCAGAAAGATGCCGCTGGGTAACTCCCTGGAGATTGTAATAGTTGGGATTTTGTGTGAGCCTCCGGTACAAGAAAGTCCATGTAAGGTAATCGACAGCATCTTGCTTGTTCTCAATTATTCCAGCAACAACTTCTGATTAGATTATAGTGGTGCAAATGGCTTTCAACAGGGAATGCTTCGTACAAGAACTTCTTGTAGTATTCTTTACGAGGCGCGTGGCAGAGGATGACACATTTCCCAGAATTATCTAGCAGAGGGCGACTGGCATGACCCATCATCTGCAACAGATCAGTAACAGGGTAATCAGTGTGAACATTTTCCCGGCCATCATAATACTGAGTTCCCATCACAACCACCAAATGGGCTGACAAAGGCACTCCCCAGCACATTGAACTGCTCATGACACAAACTTGAATCCACCCAGCTTCAAAAAGCTGTGACACAACTTCTTGGTCCAAACTGCTTAAACCTTCATGCAAGTAGCCCACTCCACTTCGCAAAGTGCCCTTCAAAATTTCATCACCGAGTCTTTCAATGAAAGGCTCAATATCATCTACAGACCGCAACAGAAATGACGGTTTCTCCCCACCGTCTGCATTTGAGTAGGTCATCAGATCCATAGCCGTTAGTCGAACATGTTTCCTTGTAGGAACATACACAAGAGCTGGTTTCGCATTCTTGGCATGCTGGACAATTGCTGTGTATGTGGGTTTTGCCATTGCTTGCATCCTGGCTTCGAAATTAGCCAAATCCACCCCCTGAATGTGTATTTCCAGAGGCACCGGGCGCACACCAGGAGGAAAATTGAAAAGGCCATGAGAGCTAGCCCCTATCCATTCTCCAAGATCCTTTGCATTTGCAAGAGAAGTTGACAGGGCCACAATACGAATCTTGTTCTCAGATTGACTCGCTATATATCTCATTCTAGAGACTATTACCTCCAAGATGGGACCACCCTGACCACCAATCAAGTGGAGTTCATCTATAATAAAAAGACTAACCTGTTGAACATCTCTGTTTCCAGCGGCGGGATAAAGCATCCCATTTCTCTGGAGTGCTGATGATAATCTGACCTCTCTCAAGCAGTTTTAGGTCTGTGGCCGTTTCCCCTGTTAATAATTCAACTCGCAGATTGAGACCTTTTCCAAACTTCTTCTCCCAGTCACGGTACCGTTCCTTAGCAAGAGCTTCAATAGGTGCAATATACACAACACGCATGACATTATCAGAGCGCTTCTGATGACTCCTCAATACAGCAAACTCTGCACATATGGTCTTCCCACTCCCTGTTGGTGCGGCAACTAAGACATTGTCATCTGAATTATACAAAACAGTGAAGACCTGAGTCTGGACAGGATTGAAATGCTTGAAATCTTGATACAAAGCTTCATATAACGGATTCCTTAATGCAGTCACAGGAAGTGGTTGCAAGTCCAATAACTCTGTTGGTGGAGGATACTTTTCCGGTAAGATGAGGTGTCTGAAAGAAACAGGTAAAACAGTCTGGGACCCAAGCCACCTATCAGACACCACACGAATGAAGTATTGAGGCGGAAGGGGCTCATAAATTGGCACTGTAAAGTTCAAAGTATGATCCTCATCAATATACTGCTTCTTCAGCAGAAAATATTCGTGATGAAGAACAAACTCGCCATCATTATCCTCCACTATTACCCAAAATGGCTCCACATATCCATGAACTTTGTCCTCCCACTGGAAATCTGGTGTGATAGTGAGCTCCACCCTCAATACAGTGCGAGTAATCGGCTGCACATGGGCTGCAAGGTTTAACTTGGGGAACTGGTGGATGAACTTATGAAGTGTTCTTCCCATCTTTGGCATACGAATTAGCTCCCCTAGCTCCTGTGAAGAGAGGTCATAATACCTATCCCAGGCCAAATCCTTCTTCTCCAGCTTCATCAAAATATCATTTGCAATACCAGTGAATTGGCGAAGAGGTGTTTGGACACTCCACATCTTCTTGTTAACCATCTTACACATGTTCAAAGCCTTTTCCGCTAGTTGAGCCCATCCTCGTTTCAAGACAATCTCGAAAAGAGCTCGGAGAAGACGCCCCGCACTCTGAACATCCAAAGCCAAAATAGAGAGGCGGACAAATGAATAACAGAATAAAAAGAGACAAAATAAATACATAAACCAGAACAAGCTGCAGCACAATCCTAACTGTCTCTCAAACAATAAATGAGAAAAGGGCATGAAATTAATAATACAAACCTGAGTAATGTAGACCATATCTGATGTCAATGAAAGCCCCTCAAGCTTCAGCTGTGAAATATATGCTTGCAGCAAGACATTGATCTTGGCACTGGGCTCTTCCAGGCTTTCCTTCACCGGAATGGGAACACGATCCAAAAGCTTTGCTAGCTCCATCTTTTCATCCTGCCGTACAGTAACGTACTTAAATTCTTCACTCAGCGAGAACAATCGACAAAGTTCAATATCCCCCATGGTAGGCTTCAAATGCTCATTATATGTGGATATTGTTCCATGGGTTATATAGTAATAACTCGCAATGCGACCCAAGTCTGTAACCTGGAAATATCCACTTTTTCGGTCGTACTTAATCAAATTGCTCTTGTCCAAGATGGTTGCAGCGGAATGGATCTGCAAAATGAAAAGGTTGAAGACAACATGAGACATTCATAAGAAATACGGAATGCAGGAATCCAGATAAACGTCGCAAAATACCACAGCAACGATAAGAACAGAATGGACAAGAACTAAATGAGTCCAAGGGAAATCAGATAGAGCTAAAGATAAAATAAATCAAAACCCGTAAACCATCATGGTCAACGACTCAACACAAAGACTCAAATACCATAAAATATCTAATAGAATGGGACAAACAAATTCCTATAACCAATAAAAAAAATTTAGATTACTATGTCAAGCCCCTTATGTTCACGTGTTTCCTCTCCAGTGATATGCAATTGTTTGTTATCTTGTGTAATTAAGAGAATGGTTATATACTATACTACTATTACTAATGCTGCAAAGCAATGAAAATGCCAACTCCAGAAAACACAAAGTTTGGGCGGTTCTTACCAAATCAGCTCGTCTCTCCTCCAATGTAATATCCCTGGAGAGAACATCAGCTTCCAAACCATAGAGTGTAGGGTTACGTAACATGCGAACATACAGGTAAGTGTATCCTATCCAATTGCAAGCTTCTCTAGCATTCTGAACAGTTCCAAGAACGATTTCAGCATTCAGTTGGTCAGCCAATTTGGATATGAATTGACTTTCAATGGGAAGCTGTTGGTTCATCAAAGAAAGATAGTATTGAAGTTCATTGTGGCCAGTAATGATAATCCCTTCTCCATACGAATCAAACTGAGGTCTCCCTGCACGCCCCAACATCTGCATAACATCCAAAGGACTTAGTTCAGTCCATGCTCCCTTTTCTGGATCATAGATCTGAGTCCCTTTGATTATCACGGTGTGAGCTGGCAGATTCACACCCCAAGCAAGTGTTGCTGTGGAAACCAAAACTTGTACGTGCCCATCAGCAAAGAGATCCTCAACCAGTTGGCGATCTGCCCTGTTCAATCCAGCATGATGAATAGCAAAACCATATGGCAGAAGATCTTTGAGATCATTGCTCTTGACCAAATCTGTATGAGTAGTTAGAATCTCGCGGCTCGCACTGTCTTCTTTCAGAAACCTACCAAG